GTACATTAGCGATGCACTGAAAGTTGATAAATATTTTGTGATGAAAAATCTGTTTTTGAGTTATATCATAACTCATGGTTTATCTTACATATTGTGAGGATATTTAAAAATGTTAATTTGTAATTTTACTTAAAAAACAAATACAATTTTCAATACTTAATAACTTAATAACTTTATAGAAAATGTAACAAATAAACTTAAATCAAATAGGATAACTTATTTATGCAAAGTTAATTTATTAAAATCGAAATTATATGAAAAATAATGCTTATAATATAAGGGTAAATTAATAATGTCATTGTAATATCATTTTAAATTAAATATAAAAATTAATTTCTTTTAAAATTAATTTAATTTATAAAATGTTTAATGAGTTGCTATTTTTATGCATTTTATGTATATTGTAATAGGTATTACATTATTTTATAATCTATTTCAGTTTAATTTTAATTGGTTTCTTAAATTTATTTTAGGTAAATTTAAAATCTGCTGGAAGAAAACGATTTGCTCATTTAAGTGCAACGCAAGATGAAATTCATGTTGACGCACCAGTCCCATGGGGAGAAGATACACTTTTTACTTTAGAATTTCGTCCTGCTTCGATAGAAGACGATGGCGAAGAACATTCTAAATTTGAAGGTGGTCATTATGCTCTGCATACTTGTAATAACAAGTATTTGGCACGTGATGGAAAACTTTTGGATTCTTGTACTCGAGATTGTCTTTATGCAGCTGAATTTCATGCTGGATTACTTGCACTCCGGTTAGAATCATTAATACATTTTTTCTACTCTACATTTATTATTATTATAGTATAATATTTTCTTACAAATATTGATAAAAAAAACTATTTACATTATATTGTTTGATGACTGGTTATATTGCTGTTAAGTCAATTTTAATGAATAGTAGAATAATTTAATTATTTATATCATTTCTTATTTTGATTCAAAATGTATTAATATGGGCCAATAATATATTTTTGTTGAAATAAATTCTGATTGTATATTATAGTTTAAAGATATTATAGTTGTCTTCAAGATCATGATTAGTATAAAAATATAAATTTTGATTAATTAGAGATTTGTATGGAGCATATTTGGCACCTATTGGAAGTAAGGCAGTTCTTAAATCAAGATCAACAACTGTAACTAGAGATGAGTTGTTCTCTTTGGAAGAATCATTACCACAAGCGTCTTTTGTTGCTGCTTTAAATCAACGATATGTATCTGTAAAACAAGGTACCTTCTACTAGCAAGTCTGATTGTTTTTATCGTCTAATTTAATAGATTTATAATACTTAATTATAAATTATTAGCAAATTATATTAATTAATAGTTATTATCAAGCCAATGTATTTTTTCATTTTTAATTGAAAATTTAAATTTATTTGATTCTTAATTAATGTTAATCTCAACTAATAACTTATGGTTATTTTGTTGATTAAGTGATAATAACATTCATTGTGATTTCTAGGAGTTGATGTGACAGCTAATCAGGATGAAATTTCTGGACATGAAACTTTTCAATTAGAATTTGATCGTGTAACTAAAAGATGGTATGTACGTACCATGCAAGATCGTTACTGGAGTCTTGAAGCAGGAGGTGGAATCCAGGCATCAGAACATAAGCGTTCTTCTAATGCTTTGTTTGACTTGATTTGGCAATCGGAGGATGGTACAGTAGCTTTACGTGCGAACAATGGCAAATTTTTAGCAACGAAGCGTTCTGGCCATCTTTATGCCAACGCGGATTCTGTAAATGGATTGGATTCAGATGCTAGCAAATATTATTTCTACTTGATGAACAGACCTGTTTTAGTATTACGTTGTGAACAAGGATTTGTTGGACCTAAAAGTGCAGCTAGTTCAAAATTAGAATGCAACAAAGCTATTTATGAAACTATCAGAGTAGAAAGATGTGAACGTGGAATTGTTAGATTTAAAGGTAACGAACCTATTCATTAATTATTATTCTTTTTACTAATATATAGTATTACCAAAAATATAGTTTTTGCAGTTTTGGGTAATTGAGATCGCTGAGAGATTTTATTTGTAAAAGATCAAGAATTTGAGTTTTGGAATTTAATAGTAATTCAATAAATGTGTTACGAACAAAAAATAGACAGAAAAAATTGCTCAATTGAAAAAATATTTTTTCATTAAAAGCAAATTTGTATTTCAGGTCAAAATGGTAAATATTGGCATGCAGATAGTGAAGGAGTAACCGTAGATTCTGATATACCTTCTGATGGGTTTTATTTAGAATTACGAGAACCTTCTCGCATTTGTATTAAACATAATGATGGAAGATATCTTACTGCAGGAAAAAATGGAGCATTGCGTCTTGGAGAAACAGATTATGAATCTGCTACAAAGTGGGAATTTTAATCAACTAAATAATGATATCTGTGCTATGTTCTTTTAAAATTTTATATAGTCAGTATTCACTCTTTATTTATTTAAAAAGATTATATTTAATAAGTATTCAAATTTTTTTAAAAAGAATGTTTAGAAATATAAACAATCCAAGCTGAAGACTTTATTACAAGGTTTAATAATTTTTATTTGTTTGTACATTTTGATACGGAAAATGAAGAGAAATAAAAAAAATAACAAGAATTATCTTTAAAAGAACATAGCTAAAATTCATTGTCCTTTTTATAGCTTCGAGTGTAATCTAATCTGATATTTACAAGTACGGAAAGAGCTCCTATCGAGTACTTAACTAGAAGTACATCGTCAAATGAATTTTTTACGATTTTTTTATATTTCTAACGACTTTTTCTATTCATAAAATACCGTACAAGACTGATCATTCGCATATTTACAGAATAATTAGCGGTTATTACATCGTACTTGAATAATTTAAAGAAAGTTTTAATGATTTATTATTTTTTGATCATAGAGTAATTGAATAATATTTGACCATGTAAATTAAAATTTATTTTCTGATTTAATATATTGCTCGCAATATTGTTTATTTTTCAATATTTAATACTTAACTGATCGGTAATTTTACATAACATTATTATATATATTAACAAAATTTTCTTAATTCTTCAATTGCATCATCTTTAAAATAAATAATTTATTATAACAAAATGTAAATATATTTTTGACATTTTATAACATGTATAATTAGTATTTATGTTACGTAATCGTGTTAATAATTTTCGTTTCAAAAATAAAATACGCGATACGAAGAACGCCCGATCATTTAAGTATTTAAGAAATTCAGCTTTTCTAGTCTTTATATTAATATATTAACATCAGCAATTACTAATGTCGAATTTCTATAAAGCAATTCATACACTAGACGGCGCATCTTGAAATTTGTCCATAAGTGATATACATAGTATTTTTCAGTTAATGAAAATAATAATTCCATATGATTAATGTATTTTCTTTTCATTATAGAACTATATGCTACCAACATAAACGCACAAATATGTCATTAATGTAAATTTGCTATCTAGTGTACACGTTTATAAAAGAAATCGATGCAATAATCGAATTAATCTGTATAATTTGACATCATGCTTCTTTTTTACATAAGAAATTCACATTCCGTGAGCTGTGCAATGGTCGAAACGTTTTTACAGCTATTTCTACGAAGAAACATAAAATTATAGCCTACTATAACAAACACTAAAGTATAAGTTTTATATATCGACTAGTATTAATTCTGTGGGCGTGTAATTTATCAATTAGCTTATAAGTGAAATTTTTCTTTTTTTTTGTCGAGTTTCAATATTTTTGAAATATATTGATATCATGATTCGACAAAAAAAAATATTTTTCGATATGCTTTTTACCTTTTATACGATACTTTTTTTTTTTATCTGCTCTCTATTTTTTTTTCTTTATACAGAAGCGAGGTTGATATCGAAATCGTTATTTCAGCGATTATTTGTAATTTACATTATTTATCATATTAAGGAACTCGGGATAAACTAAATGCATTATATAAGCAATAAATTCTGCTATTAAACATTTATTTGTTAAAATTTTTTTAACATTACCATTTTCGAAAACTGTTACCTTTAAGCAATTATTGTCCATTTATAGATAGTCATAGAAAATTAGAACAAAACATCCCCCATTATTTTATATGGTTGTGCTGGTCTTTTCTTACTAAATACAGTTTAATTCCAGAAAGAGTATAAAGCCCATTGAATTTTTAGAAACTGTATCTAGCTATAAAAGATATAGCTTTCTCCTATTTTATCAGTTTATAACCATTTATAAATTATAAAATATTATTTCTCGAAAAAGAAATTCTATTTTTGTATATAATATACAAAAAATTATATATCTAAAATTTCCTTATTTGTAAATTATAAATTATTTGCCATTTGTAAATTATATTATATAAAATTGGCAAATATAATAAGATTATACAAGGGGGTGGGATAATAGAATATTTTTTTTACGATTATTTCTTTCGAATTTTTGTTTTCACAGATTTTTTATTTTTTATTTGTTTTCACGTATTTTTCTATTGGATTATATAGTACATGTTAGAATGCAATCAAATTAATCCTGCA